TACATAAAAAAGAGGATGAACACAAACGCTAGATTCCAAAATGATTTAGCATATTATATACACCAAAGGTAATGTTTTAAAAAAGGTAGGTATAGTTTTATCGCTCTCGTGGACGTGATCTCATTTTATAAGTGTTACAGCCACTCAACAGTATATTACGGCAGTAGCATGTACGGATGAACTCGACCGGTGCCTTACTATGCTGTTAGAGAATATCAGCGTGAAATAGCTAAACAATATTGCTGTGTTTCGTATGGTGGGTCACAAGAACCAGAGACCTTTTTTACCAATAAAAAGGCATTTTATATTAGTCTTGGTAGATAACGCGCCTGAATTTTCATTTGTAATTTAGTATAGGTGTAGTGTCTTTGGGCCACAGTATTCACTTAGCGTCAGGTAGACTGTGTGCACATTTGTCACCCTTACATCTATAGAAAAGTAGCATTGTTTTTTTTAAACAAATTTTCTCGAGAAATAATTCTTGATATTTGTTGTCAAATTACATATTTTACATTTTAGTTCAAATATTTTCCACATGAGAGACATCTTCATCGAATGTAACCTGGTGTAGAGAGAAATGGAAAGAAAAAGAGAGAGATAGAGAGATATACAGAATGAAATAGAGAAAGAGTGACAGAATTATTACAGAATACAGCGAAATATAAATCAACAATGCAATCATAAACATAATAATCTTTCTTCCCGTATATCTGAAAACGCAATTTCTCATACGTTTCGAGTCTCTCAATTATCCTCTTGTCTTTATATAATTACATACTTTATATAATAAAGACTCTACGGTCGTTAGATATAAAGTATTTATACTTTATAGAATAACGGTCCTAGCGCTATAAGCCTTTTTAAGGAAATAGCAGAAAGGTTAATCGACTTTTTGTTGCATTGCAATTTTGGCTAAGGTTTTAAGAAGAAGTTTTTATAGCATTTTTTACAGACTATCGTAACGCATTACCTATTTACCCTTATTATACAAGTAAGGACAGCACTAAATGTACCTTGCGATAAATTGACGCTGTGGCGCATTGGCAGAATCAAGATTCAGATGTGTTGGTACTCCTAAAAGTACTCATAAATATTGAAGGTTTCAGGCCCCACTTCACAAGTCCACTGCTGAACATAGGCCTCCCCCAAGTAATGCCACAAAGCACGGTCCTGAGCCACCTGCATCCATCGACTTCCTGCATATCTTACCAGGTGATCACTCCATCTAGTGGGGGTCGCCCTACACTACGCCTACCGGTACGAGGCTGCCACTCGAGAACTTTTCTTCCCCATCGGTAATCGGTTCTTCGAGCCATATGGCCGGCCCATTGCTATTTCAGCTTACTAATCCGTTGGGCTACGTCGGTAACTCTGGTTTTACTGAGGATATCCTCATTTCTGAGTCTATCACGCAGAGAAACTCCAAGCATAGCCCTGTCCATAGCTTGCTGAGCGACCTTGAGCGTCCTCAAACGGCCAGCAGTGAAGGACCACGTCTCAGATCCTTGAGAGATTGAGGTATACCTGACGAGATGTGTCGTAATTTCCCGAACGCTGCCCAGCCGAGTTGAATCCGTCGATTGACCTCTCGGTCGAAGTTGGACTTATCTAGTCTGACTATTTGTCCCAGGTAAACGTACTCGTCAACAACTTCGGGCATAGTACTCCCAACAACTACCGGCATAGGTGTGACAAAGACATTAAACATGATCTTTGTTTTGTCCATGTTCATCTTAAGACCTATCCGTTGGGAGACACCATTTAGGTCATTGAGCATAGTACTTAGGTCCTCCAGCGATTCTGTCATAAGGACTATATCGTCGGCAAATCAAAGATGAGTAATGTACTCGCCATTGATGTTAATACCGTATCCTTTCCAGTCCAGTAGATTGAAAAGGTCTTCCAATGCAGCGGTGAAGAGTTTCGGGGCTATAACATCACCTTGTCTTACACCTCTCTGCAGTTGGATAGGTTTCGAACTCTGGTTCTGTACTCGGATAGCCATCGTAGCCCTACTGTACAAACACATCAGCACCTCGATATACCGACAGTCAACTTGGTACCGCTGAAGGGACTGTAGCACCGCCCAAATTTCGACGCAATCAAAGGCTTCTCATAATCCACATACGCCAGGCAAAGTGGCAGATTGTACTCTTCGGTCTTCTGTACAATCTGCCGCAGGGTATGTATGCGGCCTATGGTACTGAAGCCTTTTCGGAAACCGGCTTGTTCGGGAGGCTGGAAGTCGTCGAGTCTGCGTGCGAGACGATTCGTAATGACTCGTTCGAGTCGTTACGAAACCCCACTCACTGTTCCTACGAAATTAAGCAGCATAATGCTGCTTTTCACATAGGTGTCCTGTGAGAAATTCCTAGGTAAACACCCACGTATCTGCCGTGCCAACGCTTTCATGCTGCAGTTATATTACCGCTACAGCGTAGCTCTAACACGTAAAGTGTAGTACATGTAATACGTTTATAACTGTATTATATTCTATTAATTCGATAGTTTTTTTAATGTTCAAATCATTAATTACATTCGAAAAAGTCTGCTATACACAGGACTAAATCTAGGGAAGATTTACTCATAGTCGTATTTGCCATAGTTGCCACTAAAGGTGGTGGGTTGACAATCGCAGTTTTTCATTAAATTAAAGTTACAGCCTATATACACGTCCCACTGCTGGGCACAGGCCTCCGCTCATTTCTGAGAGGGTTTTTCATTATTCTGTTGTTAATCTCCTGTTTCAATTCATGAAGTTCATATTATTGTATAAAATTTGATTTTACATTGGATTATGTACCGTTAGTTTTGCTTTGTTTCTGTTTAAATTATCCGCTTATTACATACAATTTAAAAGTTTCCATAACAAACTACAATATTTTTTGTTAAAGTGAATTTCTGCAACGATAGTTTTTTTATTAAAAAGTTTGTATCAAATGTCATAAAACTTTCATTCTCTATTATTATATATACTCGTAATGCGATAAATTTTATGACACAATCGTAAAACAGAAAAATCGAGAATTGATTTTATGACGGTCATGAAGGTTTTTTCATTGATAAGTGAAATTTCTTTAATAGTTTCGACAAATTATCTATTGTTGAACAGATTTTTACGGGAGGAATGTTTTATATAAAATGTATTAATTTTTCTATACTGTATAAACGTATTACTACATTAATTTCTCGCAACATTTTATTTATTGTCACTATCATTATAAAGCAAAATCTCCAATAATGCTTTTTAGTGTAATATAACAGTTTATAACATGAAAGTGAAAAGTTCACTGCAGTGCTGACACCTATGACGACTAATATTGAATGCTTACTCGACAGTGCTGCTTGGCGATATGAATAGATATTATAATGTTTGTTTCTACCCAGAAAGCCTCTAAACACAGATGTCAAATATTACCATAAAGTGCATATTAAACATTTTTCACATTTATTAATACGTGGTAGAGCCACGCTGCATCTTTATTACACTTGTAGCAAGAATGGGTCGGCTCAACCGAGGTAGGACGACGCTTTCACAGAATATCACCGCAAAATAGCAGCTTAATGCTGCTGTGTTTCGTATGGTGAGTGTAGAGAGCCGGAGCCCCTTTTTACTGGAAACGAGGCATTGCATCTTAGTCCTTACGGGTGACAACACATCTAAAATTTGATTCTTAATCGAAGATAAAAGTAAATGTCTGTGGGCCACAGCATCCACGTACCAGCAGATGGACTGTGTGCTCGTTTGTCACCCTTATTCGATAAAAAAATAACTTATATGAGAGACATATTCTAAAGGATGACAGCGTCGACATTTTGTCGGACTTGACGCTGTACCGATGAGTCACGTAAGCATGTCATCTCCGGATACTTGACACTTCCTAACTCTGAGTAATAACTAAGATAACCTAGTATGTATTAGCCAGGATTCTACAACCAGTTCGCTTGGAAGTACAGTCTTGTTAAATGGAAACTCCTGTGCTGTAATGTAAGTATTCGCTGGAGGCCTAAATCACCGGGCTCCGTGGCGATTGTAATGAATGAGTCTGATATAGACTGGGCAAAGTCGAGGATACTCTTGATCGAACTTACTATTCCAATGACGTAAACATCGTAAAAGCTGAAACCGATAAAAAAAACAAAAATCCTGGACCTAGATTATGGGGTGTCTTAATGTGGGAAAGCCTTCCAGTCATGATTCTTCGGCCGGTTGGTGTCAAGGCAAGGGAAAGCTGTATTTGTAGCATGAATAAATCGACTCACTGGTCTGGTCGACTGGTGGACATAATAACAGCGTCGGACATCAGGAAATGATATTATGTTTTGTATGGTATGTGATGAGAACCGGGGAATCTTTCTATTGGTAAATAGGCATTCCTCAGGTGACAAATTATGGGCAATTTCATCTTTAATAAAGGATATAAAAATATAACAGCCAATGCATTATTTAGTATCAGGTGAACTATACTACGTGCTCGTTTGTCAGCACCTATAAAAAATCGATAAAGTTCGAGTGTGCCATGGATCGTATGTCACGTGGCAGATACCTACTTTATATGTCCCGTCGCAGTGAATGTCTTACAAAACTTAGTTGCTGTTGAATTTTTGTAAAATAAAAATGCTTCTTAATATTTGCTTCTGAATTCTTTATTGAACTTTATTATATTTTCAAGAAATTTGTCCGCATTAATATTATTAAAATGGATAAAATACAATGATGGTGAGGGTCTTTTATAGAATTTTCACTTGACATTATTTTACCTGCATTTATATATTAATTGACTCGTGTAATATTAAAGTTGTTGGTGTTTATGTTTCAGCGCCATCTTTTGATATATCTTAAATTTATTACAACTTGAATAATTTAATCTACGTTGTACCCAATCAGTTGTTCATGGAATCTCTACTAGGTGGCTCTTTATACGAGTATTGTATTTCAGAATCGAATTTGTAGATAGCGTTGTTTTAATTACTGTTGTTATTAATATAAATTCTATTCCTCATGCATGTTTTGAAAATACATTTAACAAAAATTCCTTATACTCTTCTTCATTGACGGAATATATTAACCTTACATTTGCATCTTGCATAGGAACGAAGTCATTTGTATTGATGCCTCGTTGATCACCTTAAAAAACAAATAAACAATGGAATGAAATGATGTATGATATAATATGTTGTAGTTATTTTACAGCAGTTATATATTTTGGCTGCAGCCATGACTTAGCTCTACCCGTGAACTAGGTTCTCATATTACACCAGGACAAAATACAAACAAACCTACTCTGTATTTATTACGGTGAGTTATGAGTTATGAGGATCGGAGTTGCGCTGTAAACGAAGCCTGCCATAATTCAGTCCTCTCTGATGACAACTCGTCTACATTCCTATAGAATAAAGTTGACAAACGAGCATACAATCCACCTGAAAGTAAATGGATGCTGTGGCCCAGAGCCTTCTATAGCTTCGCTTAAGAATCAAAAAGCAGATGAGTTGTCACCAATAAAAAGGGTCTTCTGTTACGCCGGTTACTACGGTTACATTCGCCATACGAAATACAGCAGAATTAAGCCGCTATTTTCTATTGTTATTCTGTAAGAGCGGGGTCCAGTTAGATAGTTACATTTAAAAAATGGTCCCGATTACCACTTCAAATAAGCTCAAAATGCTTGTGGTGGTAGACCACAGAAGTCTAATGGTTGATTAAACTCATGACTTTCCGTGTCGGCGTCCTAAAACTTAAAACAATAGGCTACTGTCAGTTTAAAACATTTGTACGTGTACTGTCATAAGTGTATATGCCAACACAGATACTTATTCTAGACTATCTGTGACCTAAATAACGTTTAATTCGATAAGGTCAGAGTCCAACTAGGATGTAGTATCAAATAGACTAGAACAACACAATCAGACCTCAAACAAACCGAACTTTTCAATTACATAATTCATTACAACAACTTTCGTTTGGCGAGTTAAACAGAATAACAAATTTTACTATTATCATTTTTTCCATTATTCTTAATTCTATTGTATAATGTAAAAATATAATGTGATTTGTTTTTCGGAATTGACTTTAACTATTAAGATGAAATTATGTATTTAGATAATCAAAAATATCTAGACAATTTTCCAAATTTATCTAGTTAGGTGATCTTTGATTAAATTACTTACCATTCAGTTATTATTTTAAATACTGCCTAATCATAAGCAATCACCCACTGATAATGATGCTAACATGAGCTTTGATCTAGAGTAATTCGTTTAGCCATTAATTAATAAATTTTTATTTATAATAAATTTGCCATCGGCTTTTGATATAACAAAATATCAGAAAATTCCGACCTCAGTATGGAAGTGGGTGTAAAATGAACGGTCGAAAATGTATTGATACATAGAGATCAATAAAATATAAAGCATGTAAAAAAACAATTTTTCTCACCACAAGTCTTTATACCATTCTTCGAATACTTGTATTCTTTAACTAAGTCTGGTTTTATTACAACTGCAACCGCTGCCGGGTCGAGGGCTTGCCAACGGTCGCTCCACTGCAGAGATATTTTTTCAAACAAATTTTGTGCCCTCATTACTTCAGTGTCTATAGCTCCCAAAACTTCTTGTCTCCAAGTCTATAGAAAATATTTCATAATAATTAATCAACAAAAGCTTTTTTATGACTTTAATTCTTCAAACAGCCCCAATAAATTATTTTAAAAAATTACAGCTTTTATACGTCTCAAAGGTCTGTTTTCATTTCTGCAATACTTATGCTTCTTTATTAATGGGGCACTGTATATGATGTTACAAAAAAGTCCCAGAAAATATACAAAGTTTCTCTAACACCAAGATTTATTAAAGAAAAAGAAATATTTTATTAAACGAAAACCGTATAAAAAGGGTTATCATAATGATGGATAACAACCCCTGGAAATGAGGTGTTAGTAGTTTGTACAACCTATACATAATTGTAAAATTTTATTTTGAAAAAAAAAATCGAGGATTCTTGCTGGATACTTGGCAGAGGTTTGACCTGAACCAGTGGTAAAAGTAAAAAAATCACTTTCAATAAGAATTACTTGTAGGTAATCTATATTAAGGCGACACATCGAAAATGAACGTTTATAATGGCTCCGGACTGTCATCGTTTTTAATTATGGAAAAATAGACTGCTCTCTCGTAACTACGAAGCACTTGAAATGTAGGAAAGTTAAAAGACGCTAAGCATTTACGCGGTAAAATCAGTAAAAAATATCAAAATCACTTTTAGTTAAAATAAGGTAAGCGCAGTAGAGATTGCAGACAGATGGTCCAGTCGTTTTCGCATAAATATGGGGTCATCTTCGTTACCCTGAATTGTTGTTTCCAGACCTTCCATAATTTGTATAGTTTTTAATTACAAAAATTAGGTAAGTATTTTTAAAAGAATACATTAAAAACATGGGAAATATTATTAAATACAATGTATTAACTAAGTTTAATAATCTATCAGTTTATATAGGTATTTTATACTTAGGTAAGACTATGGGAATGACAAAGAATCAATTAATAACGAAAAAATGAGGAAAATAAAAAAAATTACGAGATCTTCAAGGTACATAATTGTACTTATACAAAATTCACTTTGACGTTGAGGATGTGTTTCAGTGGCTATTTGTTGTACACTTTGAGTATGATTAGTCAAAGGTTGTATCATTATCAGCTTTCATCATTATTTGGCTTTCATCATTATTTGGCTTTCATGTTTGTAGTTGAAATTCTTACAATAGCACTCAAACGCTCATCTGTAAGACGAAAATCATATATTTTACTGACAAAAATTGTGCTCAACTGCTGAGCAAACTTTTTCAGTTCGTCAAAATCAGATGGCAAGCTACCATAAAACTTACAAGATCATTGATAAGACAGAAAGAGTTTTCGAGATTGCCATTAGATAGTAGACTAATCACGTTCAGTTACGTCAGGCTACCGACGTGCGTGTTCAGAGCTACTCTTGTATCTTCGCTCGCCTAACTTTTACGTTCGTATAACGTTATTAATAAATATTTATTAGGTATATAAAGGCCTTTGAGTATATAAATATAAAACTTTAATATACCAAACATAACATACTGTCTGGGACGGGCCGCACGCAGCCCGCGGGCCACGTGTTGCCGACTGCTGGCGTATGGTAAAGGAGAGGATGAGAAACAGAGACTCTATTTACATGAGGCATTCCATCTTAGTTTTCTGGCTTGACAACACTGCAATTGATGTTTAATCGATGATAGATTTAAATGTCTACGAGGCACATTATTCACTTACCATCAGGTGGACTATGTATTGGCTTGTAACCCTGACTTGTATACAAATCAGTTTGGTGTAGTCAAATTTTACAACCTCTAAACCAAACCAAAACCAAAACTCAAAACCTCCAGGGCTTAATATTATTAAGTAGAACTTAACGCGTGCTGGAGTGATCCGTAAATACTATCTGTATTTAGACGAAATATCGGTACAATAAACTTAAGAGGAATAGACGTTTTGGACTATAGTTCTCCAAATACATTAGCATAATTTAGTATATTTTGCTCTTATGGAATTCTAACGGACGTGGTTGGAGGACGTGGTACACACAACCAAACAGATTTTTTTTCAATTAGCTTAGATGACTCACCCGAGAGATATTTAAATAACTCTGGACTTGGGAGAATGGAAAGATGGTCAATTTATCTGGAGTTGCATTTTGAGTTACAATTTTATATGCCTCAACGTCAGTGAGTACATTAAATTCGGGCATTGGATTTTCATCACCTGAAATAAATATGTTATTAGCAAGTGTTGCAAAAAAAATTGAATAAATATGAGCTATTTTATTTTATAAAAGAATTTGTAAATAGCTTAAACACCGCGCCACCTATCAAATACCTTGAAGCTGCACATCAATTTTTGAAAGACATCAACCTGGTAAGTTTTTCAAAAGTTACACGATTGTTAAGTGATGAACTACAATGGATACCACTGATGCATACCAACATCTGCTTTGAGGAGGCCTATGAAGTGCTACCCAGAAAGATGTGGCATCTTACTGTATAGGACTTGAAATAAACATGGAAACATTTAGTCTTATCCTATCCGCTTCCATCGTCGAGCTGTAGTTTATTTCATCATTATTGATTAATTTTTGTTTTTCACATCGAACAATTGTCATTCGTCCTAAGCTTATGAAATTAAATTTTAAATATTTAATAATGTAAATAATTACTTTTATATAGCTGGCTTTTCGACGACCCTTTGTCCTATTTTTTTTTAATTCGTAATAAAAATGTTGAGGGTTACTGATCGGTATAAACAATATCCTATCTCTTATGTTGGACTGAACTGCACAGAGTGTACAAAATTTTATTAAAATCAGTTCAATAGTTTAGTAGTTCATCGCAGACAAACAATGTGATACATAATTATATTTAAAGATTTAATTAATTATCAGTTTTTTTCATCCTTGGTCTGAGGCTGAACTTAATTCAATCATCATCATTCTCTAAACCATTTCCCATTATCTGGGGTCGGCGCAGTAAATCTTCTTGTTCCATTCCTCTCTATCAGCCGTCATTTCCATACTTACTCCTTTCATTCTCATATCACTCTTCACACAATCGATCCATCTTTTATTCGGCCTTCCTCTGCCCGTGTGTCCCTCCACATTCATATTCAACGCTCGTTTTGTGACATGACTTTCATCCCTCCGCATCACATGCCCAAACCATGCCAATCTGCTTCCTCTCACCTTTTCTACCACTGGCGCTACTTTCAGGCTTCCTCTTATATACTCATTCCTTATCTTATCCATCCTTGTCACACCACACATCCATCGTAACATTCTCATTTCATTCGCATGCAGTCTATTTTCATCCTTCTTCTTGACGGCCCAGCATTCACTTCCATACATGACGACAGGTCGGATGATCGATTTGTAAATTTTCCCCTTCAGCCTTATTGGCATTCGGGGATCGCACGTTGTGGCTGTGACCTGTCGCCATTTCATCCACCCTGCGTTAATCCTATGCTGCACAGCTCTATCTATTCCGCCGTCGCCTTGAATGAGGGAACCGAGGTACTTGAATTCTGAGCAGGTAGGCAGTATAGCGCCATCCAACGACATGGGTACAGGACTGGAAAGACCGCCGAAATCACAGCACAGATATTCGGTTTTGGATCTGCTGATCTTCAAGCCAACACTTTCCAGCCTCTGTTGCCACCCCGTCAGTCTGCTCTGTACCTCGATGCCTTCTTCCCCGACAAGCACGATGTCATCGGCAAAGAGCATGCACCAGGGTGCCTCATCCTGCAGGTCCGACGTCAAAGCGTCCATAATCAGTAAGAAGAGGTAAGGGCTCAATGCCGACCCTTGGTGCAGCCCTACCGCCACATCGATACTGCCCGTAGTTCCCGCGGCAGATCGTACACATGTACAGGATGCTCTGTACATAGCACGAACTAACCTCACATACTTCCCAGGCGTACGCCTTTTCAAGGTCGACAAAAACCATGTGCAGATTTTTATGCACGCGCTTGTACTTTTCGCACAATTGGCGTAATGCGAAAATGGCATCTGTCGTACCTCGACCGGGCATGAATCCGAACTGGTTTTGTGTTATCTCACACTCTTCTCTCATTCTTTTCTCTATTATTCTTTCCCAGACTTTCATCGTATGTGACATGAGTTTTATTCCCCGGTAACTGCTGCAGTTTTGAACGTCTCCTTTGTTTTTAAAAATGGGGACCAGTATACTACTGCACCATTCCTCAGGTATTTGTTCTTCCTGCAACAATTTACCGAAAAATAAACTCAACCACTTCCATCCATCCGCACTCAGCAACTTCCACACTTCTACTGGTATTCCATCTGGGCCGACCGCCTTCCCATTCTTCATATTCCTAATAGCCATTTTTACTTCTTCCACACTAATACTAAGCCCATATTCACTGGTGGGTTTTCAAGCATACCATTCCATTCATTCTCCTCATTCATCAATTTCTCAAAATACTCCTTCCATCGCTTCTTTATACTTTCATCGTCAGTCAAAATCTTTCCAGAATCATCTTTTATACATTTTACATGTGAAACATCTCTTCCATTCCTTTCTCTCGCTTTTGCAATTTGAAAAAGTCGTTTTTGACCTTCGGGGCTTTCAAGGGACCGATATAATTTATCTTGCGCCTCTGCCCTACAAATAGCAACTTCCTTCTTTGCTCTCTTCTTACATTCTTTATACGCCCCTCTCTTACTTTCTTTTATGGAATCATTCTGGTCTTCTACGCTCTGCCATTCTTTAAAAGCATTTTTCTTTTCTCTCAAAACTTCTCTAATACTTTCACTCCACCACAACCCATCCTTATCTATCATACGCTTCCCTTTTGTTTCTCCTAACACCTTCCTTGCCACACTTCGGATACAATCAGCCATTTCCTTCCAGCACTCATTCACACTCATTCCTTCCATATCACCCATCTCTATCATCTTGTTTACAACTAGCTCTCTAAATTCACTTGCATACTCCTCCTTATGCAACAAATGCCACCTTATTTTGGGTGGGGGACAATCCTTATGTTTGTTGAGGCGAACAGTTAAGCAGATGTCAGCCAGCAGAATTCGGTGCTGGGATACTAAGTTTTCACCTGGAAGCACTTTGCAGTTTTTTACACTCTTGATTTGGTTCCGTCTTATCAGAAGATAGTCGATCTGTGTCGCGTGGTGACCACTTTTATAAGTAACAAGATGCTGATCTCGTTTTTGGAACCACGTGTTTACTACAGCCAGGTCGAAAGCACATGCTGCTTGCAGAAGAACTTCCCCCCTCACGGTTCCGCACTCCGTACCCCCATCCACCGTGTACTCTTTCATAACCGTCATTCACTCTCCCTACATGTCCATTAAAATCGCCTCCCATATAAACATCCTCACTCTCAGGTATTCCCATCATCACACAATCAAATTCCTCCCAAAACTTCTCTTTCACACTCTCTTCACAGCCTGTTTGCGGAGCATACACACTTACAACATTCACTACTTTGTTTTCAATCATTAATTTAACAACTATCATTCTGTCATTTACTCTTTTCACATCTGTCACTCGTTCTTTCATTCCACTATCTAACACAACTCCTACTCCATTTCGCTTCCCATCACTTCCACAATAATAAAACTTGTATCCTTCCCCAATCTCTCTCGCTTTATTGCCCTTCCATTTTGTTTCCTGCAAACAGGCAACATTCACTCTTCGTCGTTTCAAAACATCTGCTAACTCTCTTCCTCTTCCAGTCATCGTACCTACATTCCAGCTTGCAAACCTCACTCTGACATTCTTCTCTCTCCGGGCTCGCCTCTTACGTCGCACCCGCTCCGTAAGGTGCGACGACCCTTGCCCACTTCCCACAGGAGCCGGGTGCTGCCCCTGCGCGTCGCCTGCGGGGTACGCCCTAGCCCTGTCATATATCCCACAACTCGTAATATTCATAGGTTTACTGCATGGGATTTGGCAAAAGTTTTACAGTCGGCCGCCTGCCTGACACCAACCCTCTTTGGGTATGCTATTGTTGGTAGAGGAAGCTACCATTTTGGGAAAAGGAAAAAGAAGGTTGGGGGTAGGAGCGCAGGTGTAAGGATACTGTTATCTCGGCAGGAAAGGTATGAGAATAACAGTAGCTCGGGGAGCCGGGGTCGCGTACCCGTATTCCATAACAGGATCACCGGAAAGGTAGACCAGCATGAAAACCCCCTGACTACCTGAACTTAATTCAAGTATGTGATTGAAGTAAGTGACTGAACTTAATTCAATCACTTACAGGTAAATCTACAATTACATTTATAAAAACGAGCCATGCATATGGTAACTTCGACCAATCATTTTCTCGAAATAATTACTTAAAATTTGTTAAAAACAAAGTTTTCACAACCTCATACAGAAAAATAAATCATTTCATCCGTAAATTATTTTTAAATAAAAAATAAATACAATTCAATACTTAATAAATAGAAATTAAAAATAGTTTCTATCAGTGTTCATTTACGACAACAGTTTAACTACAGTAAAGCTTCTCTGGTACTATTATTACCAGAAGCATCACCTAACCGTTGAGATGGTCAGCAGTATATTCTTGATAACAAGTCAGAATTATTTAAAAAAACTGCGCTTTCTAATTCTAACCCGCCTGTCAAGAGTGGCAGTAGTACCAAAATCCCACCTGAGGCAGTCCATAGGTTAGGGCTATGCAGCGCAGGCAGTGGTAACACATATACCATTACCTTGTGACACGCATAATCTTTTAAATTGTTACAAGATAAGTTTAGTGATAGCTGGATGTTTATTTTTGCATTACACAGTACTCGTTTGTGGAACGAAGTTGTAGATTAGTCACTTTTACATGCTTTGTTGTATAATCTGTTGTGCTTTAATATTTAAGAGTAAGTACTAGAGTAAGCATCATTCTTAACTTACTATGTATATGTCCAGCCGCCACGTATAACTGTTTAAGTCTATTTAGAAACCCAGGATCCAATTTTATCGCCAAGGCTACGTTTGTTAGAGATCCTAATGTTATAACCGTTAAACTTCCTGAAAACATTAAAATGAAATCATATCAATGAAAATGCAGATATTTAGAGTGATCATTCCAGTAATTAGTTGGAAGAACTATTCGCTCAGTCTGGGTATCTACAAACCTCTTACATATTTCTATCGCCAAAGAGAACCAGTACAATTACGGGCTATGTGGCATTCCATCTTATTCCTCAGATGTGACTACGCATCTTTGGCCTTTCTTGTTTAAGGTTGACTGCAGGTGATCATGGGCTTACCAACAGGTGGACTATGAGTTATTTTGTCGCTTCTGTTTAAAAAAAAAATAACAACAAATAACTTAAGTGACAATTTTTGAAAAATCATATAATGTGCTGTATAGCGATTTCTTTACGATAAACCATTTTTTTTTTCAATATTAGAAAAGTTGAGAAAAAAACGAGGAATCGAGCAGGAATAAAAAAGGCCTTAAAGACAAAGTTAAAGCACCCAGCTGTCTTCTGAAATTAGAATGTTTTTTTTTTATATATCTTAAAAGTCTCACGAAGAATCCTTGGTCGGAATCGATATTCTTTTATTATTTGGGATATTATGTCGATCCGCGATCACAGACTGTGATCATACATCGTTTCGTTTATTGAGTAACGTGAACTAGAGCTGCCTTTTACTATTTTTAGCATACATATTACAAAAGAAAATACATTCCAACTGATGGCACATAAAGTCTAAATCTATACCTACTCAATAAAGAATCAAAATTTACATTCGTTGCATCCCCTAGGATTTTTTGAACAGAATTAGGCCGACCAGCGCGCACACAGCCCACTTGATGATGGTAAGTGAATACGGTGGCCCTCAGACATCTACATCTATCCTCGATCAATCGTCGAATCAAAATGTTGATGCTTAATCACCCCTGAGGACAAAGGTGGAATGCCTCTTATTGAGTAAAATGGGTCTCTGGTTCTCTACACTCAACATACGAAACACACCAGTATTGTGGTGCTATTTTGTGGTTCTTCCCGATCGACCCATTCGTGCTACAACCATAACATAGCTACAACTTGGATCTATCACGTAAAAACTAATACCTGCAGCATGGCTGTACTACAATTATATAATATAATAACGAGGCATTTTGATTTTTTATTTAGAATAAATTGAGCTCTATGAGTCACAGCATACACCATCAGATGAACTGAGTGCTCGTGCTCGGCTTAAAATTGGTAAATAGACAAACTCCATGAACCTACAGATACATTTTACTTAATAATAATAATAATAATAAGCCTGATATTGTGCTGATGAACCGGGCACAGTCAAGGATATTTTTGGTCGACATTACCATTCCGTATGACGAGAACCTCGTGAAAGCCGAAACAGATAAGCAAACAAAATATACATGTCGGTCACCACGTGGACCTGGCTCACGTGGTGACCGACATGTGGGGTGGTCTGCCGACCGAAATTATTCCAGTAGTCGTTTCTGCAAACGGACTAATGCCAGTCAGCCTCTCAGGTTGTCTGAGGCAGCGGGGACTCCGTGGCGGACCGCTCCAGGCTCAAATGCAGAAGGCAGTGCTCCTCGATATCGTCCACCGGTTTCTTTCCCTTTCCCCCCAATCCTCGGCCGTTTGGTCTCCCCTGCCGAGGACCTCCATCTGGTTCGGCTTTTATTTATTTATGTATTTTTGCATTTATTTTATTTTATTGATATTTATGTATATTTAGCTTTTCATTTTCATCTATAATTATATATTTATAGAACCCAACCAGATGAGAAAACTATACAGATACCCCCATAATAATAATAAGTTTATTCACAAGAAATATGGTACAAAGATGTTCTTATAAAATAATAATGTATCACATATTTCACCAATTTTGGTATATGAAAACTTTTGGTTAGAATATACAAATTTTAAGTGAAATAAATCGTGCAATGGACAAAAGAGTTTTCAAAAGTCTATATTTATTAAAAATTTTTTTTAGTTCCCTTTAAAAATAATAAATAAAGTGCACCAACCAAGTTACTCTTAACTATACTGGCCGATGTATTATAATACCTTCATACTTCTTCGAAAGTTCAATTAAGGCTGAAACTGCACTTTGTTCTTTTGCCGGCTCTAAATCGTCATAGTATAAGCCACAATCTCCTAAGCCATCTTCGCCAAAAAAGTTTGTGGTGGTTGGAGTTATCACCAGTGAAGACTTTGATCCCCTATATAAAGGCACCTGAAACAATGTTCATGTCATCTACAACTATGGTTGCCAGACATCTTTTAATTTAAATGTCCTTCTTCTATTCAGATCCAAAACTTGACTTTATTACCTAATCTGAAACTTTTAATAGAGGACAAGGCAATTTTGCGCGTTTTCAAAATTCTCTCTGCTGTTTAAAATAAAGGAATTTAAAGATCACTTTGAGGTGACGCACAATAGTAGAGAGGCAAAACACGTTACATTGCGTATTTATATTGTTTTTATATTAATAAATGTTGCAACTGATACCATAATAGTATTTTACTGAAAACGTCGATATGTCCTTCATTTAATCTTATCAAATATTCTAAAACAAATAATGTAACATATTAATACTGTTGAATTTAAAATGCGCATTATTTATAAAAAAAAACGAATTAATATGTTAATCCATGAATGTCATCAAACTAACAATAAAAACCTGGGAAATTCATACTATTTTTACTTACTTTAATATAATAAAACGGAAGAGATTTTTTAAACACGCTAATCTCTAGATTAGCGTGTTTAAAAAATGTCTGATGTCTGATTCATGTGGAACAGTTTAGGCTATCTAGGATAAGTCTACACTCCTCAGCTAGACTTAAATAGTGTAATTTTTAATTAAGTAATTTTTGTTAAGTAGGTCGGAGTAAAAAGCGCTCCCGAACAAATTTTCCCGCATGCGTTGGCGTAGTAGTTATTGATACGTAAATACAATGTTCTACAAAATACTGATGTTTAAACCATCTAAAAAGTTCGCAAAATCATATGCCTATTTCTCAAAAATTAGCCTCAATGTACCTTATTTGTAAAAAAAAAATTGAAAATAAAACATTGATTTATAAGCGTTATGGCATGGCATATTAATCCTTTCTTGAAACTTCATCATCAAGGCAATTTTATGAAGAAAAACTTTGCTCTTTATTGCATGTCATTTGGATGCATAGCTTAAAAATGGAAAAATTAAAATATTTAATTACTTGGCTTGGCGCGCGAATCTCGCATAACCGTATCAAACTCGCATATCCGTAAAAAAATAAGCGAGGTGTCATCTCGAGCGGCTCAGAAGCGTTGATATGCGCGGGTAAAACCGCGGGGTTCATCATCATTAGTCATGGCAGCCCTTCACAAGTCCACTGCCGAACATAGGTCTCCCCTAAGGAAAACCACAAAGCACGGACCTGAGCCATCCATCGACTTCCTGCATGTCTTACTAAGTCGTCACTCTATCTGGTGGGGAAACACTTCGACTGCTGGTAAGAGGCTGCCACACGAGAACCCTTCTTTCCCATCGGTTGTCAGTTCTTCGAGCTATATGGTCGGCCTTCAGATTTCTAATCCGTAAGGCTATGTCGGCCACTCTGGTTTTATTGCGGATATCCTTGTTTTAAGTCTATCACACAAAACACCTAGCATAAATCTCTCCACAGCTCGCTGAGCGACCTTGAGCTTTCTCATACCCACAACAGTGAAAGACCATGTCTCAGCTGAATAGGTCAACACTGGCAACACTCACTGGTTGCACAATCTTGTTTTGAAGCTTTGAGGTATGCCTGACTAGAGGATGTATACGACACATCATCTGACGGGGGACACAGTTAGTTTGAAATACATATAATGAGTAAATCTAATTACTACTCAAAAGACACTATTATTCGAAATCGATGTCACAAACATTTTTCCTCAGAAGAGACATGTATTCGACAGTAAGACTTGTGAAGGGCTGTAATTTTGATGATGATAATACAAAGGGCCCCGCTGTTGTTTTGTATGTTATTTTTGAGCACACATTATTAGCTTATTACATTCCCGTTACACAGTAAATTCTTATTCCCACAGTAAATTCTTATAGAGTTAAAAAAAGGTTTTAATACAAAAATATTAGTATATTTTGTAAAATACTTATGCAAACTTACATCTTGTCTATTGGCGACTTTCAGAATCCTTTGATTATTTACGTATACATTGTCTTCAATGGTATTACCATTACCAGTTGTGAGACCAACCAATTTAGGCCTAAAATCATTTTTTTAATAATTACTTATATTTAAACTAAGCTGCACTTTAAAATGATTATAAAGTATCCGAAGATCTTTAATTTCAAACTTTGCTAATGAATTATTGAACAAAGTACCAAAAATCTTGCATCACTGGTATGCATACTATTGGCCGCTTAATTATTATAATTATTGAAATGCAATAAACTGCAGTAACCCTGATGCTAACATTCATAATTATTTCATTGTACATACACGATCAATCTGAGTTTGATCCATTAATGGCACTACAGAAAAACACTTAAAATACTTTAAAAAATACACAGGTTAAAATACTTCGGGGTAATGTGACTGTTACAAAAATTCTAGCTAGCGGAGTGCTCCCTGTTACAAAATTCTTTCAGAAATGAGGAGCTTATATGATTAAAAAATGTATTATTATATATTTTAAATACCTATAATTTCGGGATTATCCTATAATTTATTATAAATTTTTATTTGCTCCCGAAATTCTAAATAAAATAGAACATTTTTCACACGTCAACAGTCAAATGAAAATCATATCATAACTTTTAACTCCATTGTGTTGAACAATGGGAGCTTTTGTATACCATAATAAACTCGTAAACTGGTACTAACAAAACTCCTATTAAGTACTTATTTGTATTCTCACGCAGTTTATTCTGATGTAACTAGCGCTTTAAACTTCAGTTGCTTTACAATAAGCCATTATTTATAATGCTTATAAAGATCAACGTAAAGAATCATATTAAAATGAGATAAAAATAACTAAAAACGCTACATACCCATCAAAGTGTTTTTCGTATAACAAAGCAAGAAATATAGCCATGGCATCATCTCCACCAGCATCGTTATCTATGATTATCTTCATGTTTCTGTCATTATTTCTGAAAAGATATACAAAAACACTTTACTTTTAGATTATCTTCGAGACAATCGTCCTTTACTTATCCCGTGGTAACTACTACGTAAATCATTCGTGTAAGAGTGAAACTCGTGAAACTGCTAACTGAAATAAGAGGTGGGCAGCAACATTTTTCCTATAATAACAAAACAATAAAAAAAATGCTAGCATTCCCTCTTTCAGAATAATCTATGATTATGTTCAGGAAGGGGCTTTTTAAGTGTTAGAAAAATGAATGATGATGATTATGTTCGCCCATCATTTGTTATTACACGAGCTATATTAAAAAAAAATTCAAGGTAATTCATTGAGCTATTATGTACTACGACTAGAGATGACACTGCATTTAGCTACTCTGTTCCACTCAACTGCGGTGCATACACCGCACTTTAATCAGTCACTCGCTAGGCGCTTGTAGAGTTGTCACGTGTTGTGTTGATTTAAAAAAAATCTCTTGATAAAAATATGCCGTCGTGTGTACTTAGATATTGCACAAATAATTCAAGAAATGTCAGTAAAAACCAGGTAATTACTTTTCATCGGTTAATAAGATACTTATTACTACTACTTACTACTGGTTAATAGAATTAATAAAAAAGTATTATGTATTAATAATAAAACAAATTATTCCTAAGACGTCATCTCGTGTCAGGGAATATAGATTATGAAATTTATATGTTCAGAATATATAACATATTTTTTTTGTAGAAACATATATAAGTTATTATAATTTGGCACAATTTTTCATGTTTAAATCTGGTTATTATTCTTTTATTTTATTTTTAGGTTTCCACATCAAAGACAAAGTGATATAAATTCATTGATAGAATCAGGCGTTACTTTGCGGAAATCCATTATAATAAAAAATAAAAATATAAATTTCTTTGCAACTTTCCGCTAAACATATAAAATGATGTGTCTTACCTGGATTGAAGCGTACCTCCCGCCCTCCCTCAATTGCATACACTAACTCCGTCACCACTAGACCAAGCACCACTACTCTCAACACCACTATTCCAGGCAAGACACACCATCGACGATAATACGACACGTGTTTCGCCTCTACACGAGGCATCCTCAGGTAAAATAGACTCTACGGCAGCTGACCGCTAAGTGAGCGGATTGTTTTTTTTTTTTGCGCCCGAAGCAAATATGAGCAACCCTCCGGAAAGCGGGGGAGGGAGGTTGAGAATGCTCATAGCATACCACGCAGCCGGCTGCGTGTTTATGTGGAGACTTTTACCCACTAAACTCAACCTTTTGGCAATTGGCTTAACGATCTGACTAGAGATCTCTAAGCCGTATACCAACGCGACCCTCCTTGGCAGAAAGGAGGGCGCAGCAGAAAGGAGGGCGCAACGAGCGGCGAGTCGAAACAGTTGCTATTTATACACGCTGACACAATCGCTCCCTACCAAAGTAGCGAGTGACCGCGTCGTGCGATAACAAACCTGCCAACAGTTATTATTATTGTTCTGATTATTTTTAAATACTATTATTATTTTGGGGTATCTATATAGTTTTCTCATCTGGTTGGGTGCTATAAATATATAATTATAAATGAAAATGAAAAGACAAATATACATAAATATCAATAACATAAAATAAATATAAAAGTACATAAATAAATAAAAGCCCAACCAGATGGAGGCCCTCGGCAGGGGAGACCAAACGGCCGAGGGTTAGGGGGGAAAGGGAAAGAAACCGGCGGACGATGCGGGCGGTATCGAGGAGCAACGCCTTCTGCATTTGAACCTGGAGCGGTCCGCCACGTAGTCCCAGCCGCCTCAGATGACCCGAGAGGCTGACTGGGATTAGTCCGTTTGCAGAGACGACTACAGGAATAATTTCGGTCGGCAGACCACCCCACATGTCGGTCACCTCGTGAGCCAGGTCCAGATATTTTGTTTGCTTGTCTGTTTCGGCTTTCACGAGGTTCTCGTCATACGGAATGGTAATGTCGACCAAAAATATCCTTGACTGTGCCGGTCCATCAGCACAATATCAGGCTTATTCGTAAGAATAGTCCTGTCTGTGATGATGGCCCGGTCCCAATAGAGCCTGGCGCGATCATTTTCGAGCACGGCTTCCGGCAAGTACTTGTAATACGGCAATTTCCGATCCACGAGACCGTATTTCAGAGCGAGCTCCTGGTGTAGAATTCTGGCTACTAGGTTGTACCTGTGCAAGTACTCAGAGTTAGAAAGCGCCGAACAACCGGAGATAACATGCCTAAGTGACTCACCGGGATGGCGACAAGCTCGACAGATGTCGACGGTGCCATCCTTTAGGATGTAGCTCCGATAGTTGTTGGTCTTAATAACCTGATCCTGTATTGCACAGACAAAACCCTCGGTTTCCCCGAAAGAGATCACCAAAGCGTAGCCAGTGGAGGGAGGCTACTGTGTCTACGAAAGGCTCATGTAGAGCCTTGTAGAACCTCCCGTGGAGCTCCTTCTCCTTCCATACGGTCTCCCGGTCGAAAATGCTCTGCACTGCCGGGTCTTGCCATTGCTCGTTGGCTAAGGATAGAGGGGTAAGTCCTTTATCACAAGAAATGACGTCCTTATAGAATGGATCATCCGATCTCGCCAGGAAGTAATCACGGAGGCTGCACACTTCGCGATTATGCATGGTGAGCGCGCTCAAGAAGCCACGACCACCATGCTTCCGCGGCAAGTACAGCCTCATTACCGACGATCTCGGATGATGCATCCTATGGGACGTCATTGTAGTGCGGACTTTTCTATCCAGGGCGTTAAGTTCAGTCTGAGTCCACCTGAGTATGCCAAAGGTATACATGAGGACAGGCATGACCCAGCCGTTATATGCGTGTGCCTTATTCACACCGGACAAAAGGCTGTTAAGCACTTTGGTCAAGCGTGCATAAAACACGTCGCAAACTGACTGTTTCATACCAGTCTCATCGATACCGATGTTTTGTGACATACCCAGGTATCGGTATGTTTCAGCCTCGGAAAGGGTCCTTAAGTTGACGGGCATAGATAAGTCTACGCCCTCAGAGTTAGCAACCCTTCCCCTTTCAACATGGAGGACCGCACACTTATCCGTCCCCAGCTCCATTCCAATGGAATTGCTAAATTCACAAGTGATGTTTAGCAATTCCATAAGATGGGAGCGACTGGAGGCGAATAACTTGAGGTCATCCATATAGAAAAGGTGGGTCACTTTTGTCCCTCCTTTCCGTAGCTGAAATCCCCCGATGAACCCGGAGCCCTCCAGTAAGGTACTGAGAGGGTTCAGAGAGAGGCAGAACCAGATTGGACTCAGACAATCGCCCTGGAAGATACCCCTTCTTATCCTTATGTGGTTCTCCGCAGCCATCATCCGCTCGCCTAGATGACAAAGGATCGTACTCCACTGCCCCATACACTGCTCGAGGAAGTCTCTAACTGTACAGTCTATCTTGTACAGCTCGAGGACTCTCTTTAGCCATGTATGGGGCACCGAGTCGAATGCCTTTCTGTAGTCTATCCAGGCGGCGGAGAAGTTCCGACGGTTGCGTTTCACCACTTTGCCAATGACCGCGTCAATGAGGAGTGGTTCCTTGGTTCCACGACCACCGCCCCGACATCCATTTTGAGCCAATATACTCCTCATATGCTCTAATTCCAGTTCCTGGGCGACTGTTCCATCATCGTTTGAATCAACCACAACTGGGGTATTCACGGCGGCATCCACGTTTGCGGGTTGCTCTACCATTAAATACTATTATTATTATTGTTTTGAGTGACCGCGCCGTGCGATAACAAATCTGCTACTAATTATTATTATTGTTATGATTAATATTTTAAATACTATTATTATTATTGTTTTATTGATATTATTATAATTATTTATTATTATTAATCTTAAAATTATTATTAAAGATTGGCCTTAAAGATGTTTAACAAAGGTGAATTAGAAACATTTGTTTGTTCATTCAGCAGTGTATAATTACCATTATTACTTTTTAAAATCTCCAACTGCTCCAGCACACACAGTCGCAGCCCCTTATTACAGGTATGTAAGACTTCAAAGGAATGGTCGCTAGCTAGGTTGTGTCCAGTGTCCAAGAGATGTTTAGCAAAATGGGATTTATCAGGATTGCAATTTCTGTACGCGGCCATATGTTCTTTATAGCGCGTCCCGAAATTGCGACCAGTCTGACCCACGTAAACGGCGTGGCATTCGTCACAAACAAGTTTATAAACACCCGATTTTTGACTAATATTTAACTTATCTTTATTATTACAAATATTCCTAAGCGAATTGTTTGTTTTGAATGCCACGTTAACGCCGTTTTTCTTAAGACTATTAGCTATTTTTTCCGATATGGGGCCTAAGTAGGTCAAACTACCCACATACCGCCGGACACTTTGAGATCGAACCGCGTACAAAGAACTGCGAACAACATGCTTTTGTTTCTTTTTAATAAGATTATCAACGAGACTTTTTGAAAAACCGGTAGAGACCGCAATTTGATAAATTATATTAAGTTCTTTTAAATAATTTTCTTTATTTAATGGAACAGTGGACAGACGGTTAATGTAACAATAAAAAGCGGCTAATTTATGTTGCCATGGATGACACGATGATGCGGGGATGACCGTGTCGGTATGAGTTGGCTTTCGATAAATTTGAAAAACATGTAACAACTCTTTTCTTGTTATTGTTAAATCAAGGAAATTAAGGGAGCCATCTTGTTCCAATTCAAGCTTAAATTTAATTTTTTCGTGGACTCTACTTATTTTATTAAGGAACACATCCAGTTGTCTCCTTGTGCCTGTCCAGCAAATAATTATGTCGTCTACATATCGATAATAGTATAAGATATTTTGGTTAACAACTATAAGTTGTTTTTCGAAATCATCCATGAAAATGTCCGACATAAGTGGACTTAGAGGGGACCCCATAGCTAACCCTTCTTTTTGTAGATAGAAACGGTTATTAAACCGGAAATAATTTTGTTTCATACAGAGA